GCTCCTCCCTGCGCCCGGCCCCGGGAGCCAGGCGAGAGCCGCGGTAGTCGGGCCGCCGAAGATGGGGAACACTACCTCGTGCTGCGTGTCGTCCAGCCCTAAGCTCCGGAGGAATGCTCATTCCCGGCTGGAGTCCTATCGTCCCGACACGGACCTGAGCCGCGAGGACACCGGCTGCAACCTGCAGCACATCAGCGACCGGGAGAACATCGACGGTGAGCATGGCGGGCCCGGGGCGGGGATCCGCACCCCACACCCCGCCCCCGTCAGCGGTGCCGGGACTGCGCACCGGCGTCTGTCGGCCGGGCTGCTTGGCTCTCTCATCCCTGCTCTGGAACGTGGGCGCTCGAGGCCCCCTGGCCGGTCTCGCGAGGGAGCGGCGGGGACTCCTGTGGTCGCAGCTAGGGTACAGCGGGTACAGGGGTGCAGGTGGCTAGGTGACAGGAGCTGGCCCTTGTCACCAGATGGGAAGGGGCAGCGCTGGGCAGGGGCGGCCTAGAGCCTGGTGTTCCAGGCACGGTCTGGTTGTAGTCACAACCAAGTTGTGCACAAGGATTATCTCACTAGTCCTTTAAGATACGAAGAGAATGGACGGTCTTTGGCATAACTGAGGAGTGAATTCCCATTTTGGAATCACAGGGTTCGCCAGTGTCATCTCCCTGGAAACTTACATACTGACCCCACTTTGCCGTCTCCCACCAACATTGCCTTTATAAACTAAAACGAAAACCAAATCAAGAGATTTGAGGGGAGGGGGTGGTTGGAGGGATTGGAGTCAAATAGCTTCACCTGAATGCTTAAAAATGTTAGAGTATCATTACAATGGTTTGGAAACAGCTTTGGGTTGCCCGGTTTTGCTTGGGTCTGAATTACAGTTCTATGAATTTCTAATTGATATGAGTGACTTTTGGTTTGGACTACTGTTTGTAAAGGAAGTTAAAAGACTGATCATTACATCTAATAATGGGTATTTTATTGGTACCTTTATTAATATCTTTATTAGTACTATATTAATATATTGTGTGGCTTAATATCTACAGATGGATAGTTTATGCATCCTGCTTGAAATACAGTTTATAAATTTTCAACTTTAAGAAATTTGAAATATATTTTTAAGACAACTTGATTTTTTTTTTAACTCATCTTCTCCCAATCGATGTGGTTGAACTAATCTGAAAAAATTTCTTGTATGAATAAATTGACATAACTGTCATAATTCATTCTTGTCAACTTTACAATGGAGCATTCCCTCTAGTGTAGAAAGCCAAATTTAAACTCTATTAAAGGAAAGAATTTTCTCATTGTTTGGCCTCCTTTAATTTCTTCCAAGTAGTAATTTCATTTTTTTAGGAGAGCAACTTTATTAAATGAGTACCACACAAAAAGAGACTATTGCAACATTTGGTTTATAGTAGGTGCTTAGTAAATTAGGGTTCCACATGACATTTATAAATGTTATTTTAACTTCCATGATCTTAACCAGCTCTTTAGATATCTTTGAGCTACAGCCATACTTTATTATTAAATTTATGCATAAAGGCGTCTGAAAGGATATTAAGGCCAAGTATGTCTTGATCACTGCTGTGGTCCCAGGCACCTGAAAGAAGTATCTCCAGCATGTATAAAAACTTAATAAGTATTGTATTTTAAAGGAATGAATGAGCGAGTGAGTTTACTATGGAAAGCCATTACCCAGTCCTACACAATTTTGACAGGCAAAAACATTTGGCAATTATTTTTCCTTTATATTCAATATGAATATCAGGTAGAGGCTTTATGTTGTAAATAGTGGATTAAAAAAATAAACAGAAGAGTCATATTTCTTAGAGCTAGGCTGCATACTGTTATTGACTATAGTAGGGAAAAGGGGAAAAAAAGCAATTGTAACCAGCTATTTGGCAATAAGGCTTAGGAAGATTTTTGCCAGAGAAAAATAGAATAGTATTGTGTGTTCTTTCATTTGAAAGAAATCTAAATTTGGTCATCATTCACTGTTTAGAAAATATTTGGAAGACCAACTCTTGTTTAAGTTTCAAGACAGTATAAGAAACTAGGTCAGGGTAAGAGGATTTCTAATCCAGGCTGTATTGTCATCTCACACCAGAACCCAGTTCATATGATGATGCTAGTTTAAACCCAGAAATATTTAAACAATGTTCTCTCTGTTTCCTAAATTCAATAAATAATACTTACAGAGTATACCAATCCAGCAGTTCCCAATGTTGATTTCAATTAGCCCAGAAATCTAGGACTGGGCCTTGGCATTAGTTGTGTTTAAAGCTCTTCAGGTAATTTTAAGATGCAATTAGGGTTAAGAATTAAATCAGGAGCATTTTCTGTCAAAATTCAGAAGACAACAGATGAGTTGTATTATTGTTAGATGATTAGTAAACATTTTAAAAGCACATCTCAATTCTTAATTCTAGAACAGTATATAAGAAAAACTGAAGTGCTCAAGGGCCATCTTTCTTATATCCTGAAAGACATTCCAGACAGCTAGAATGGAAAGGTTCAGAGAAGTTTGTGGGGCTTCTGTGGTAGCTTAGTTTCTTTAAACCACAGAGAAAAGAGGTATGTACCTGTTTTCCCTGACCAAACACACAATGGGAAATGTTTGTTCTGTTTAGTGACTGAGATAGGGCAGTTAGGGTTCTATGAGAACTACCTGCAACTTGCCCTATTTTTGTATTCAGTACTTATAACTACTTGTGACATCTTTACCTTAATGTTAGGTTATTCATGTTTTTGGAATTTATATTAGACTCATCAGCTCCCCAGGTATTATTTCTCATAAAATTATCCTGAGATAGAGAAATAACAAAAACACTTAACAGTGATGCTAATAATTGCAGCCCTTATATATTGTTTACTCTGTGCCAGGTCCTGCTGTAAATGCTTGACATCTATTCATTGTTTAGTACTAACAATAAACCTATGGGTAATATTATTCTTACTTTAAGGTAAAGAAATGAGGCAGAGTGAGGAGAAATGATGTGTCCAAAGTTAGACAGCCAACAAATGACCAATGGAAACCTTCCAATGCAGCTAGGCTAGCCGTCAAACATTAACTAGTCTGGAGTTGCCTTCTGGGGTAGGATATCTATCATTACAGTCCTATTCATAGTTTCTCTGTGAAGGAACTTAATCTCTGCAACAGACTGGACTCCCTGGGTAGATTATTTCTGTGGGATGAGGAAAAGAGGGGTAGAGTAAAGAGAATTTAAAATTCAGTGAGACCAAATAAATCAGGATACCTGTAACATCTGTATCCTAGTGTCAGTTGGGGAGTTAGGCCTCAGAATGATTGATAGCAATGTCATCCTTTGTAGGTCAGCTGTTGTCCTTGGTAGTCCACTGTCTCTCTCATCCCATCTCCAATCTGCCAAGAAAGCATGACTTTCTACCTTTAAAGGACATGTAGAATCTGATCATATCTTAAAACCTCTCCTGCTGCTCTTCTGGTCTAAGCAGCCATCATCTTGGTCAGCTTAACTGGTCTCCTTGCTTCTACCCTTGCCCACTACAGTTTGTTGTTAACACAGCAGCTGTAGCGAAATCATTTTTTTTTTTTTTTGCTCAATGTTGTTAACTTTTTTTTAGTTTTTTTGTCTTTATTGAAATACAACAGGCAATTAGTTGTTTATATTTACATTGTACAATTCAATGAGATTTTTTTCCAATTATAGTTGGTATACAATAATATACCAGTTTCATAGTGATCGGAGAGCCACATAACTCACAAAGTGATCACCCCACTAAATCTAGTACCCCTTTGTCCCCTTACATATTTATTACAACATTGTTAACCATCTTCCCCATGCTACACTCTACAGTGAGATCCTTTTTAAAATTTAACACATCACTTCTCAGTTCAAAAACTACCATAATTCCTTATTTCACACGGAGTAAAAGCCTTACAATGGACCTTTACAATGGATTACAAGGCCCTTTGTGATCTGTCTACCCTCCTCACTCTCTTAGTGCACCCACACTGGCTTCCTTCAGTGTGGTTCCTTGAACATACCAGATTGGGCCTTTGCTCTGTCCCTCTGCCTGGAACGCTTTTTGTGTATTCTCTTGGCTAATTCCTCATGGTCTTCAGTCTTGATTCAAGTCTCACCTTTTCAGTAAGGCATTCCTGATCAACCCATTTAACATCCCTCCTGCCACCTCATCAGTATTCCTAGTATACATTCTCGACACTACTGTTTCTTTATTCCTTATCACCTATAAACACACTGTGTATGTATTTAATAATAACTTTCTACTTACTAGCATGGAATGTCCAATAGGACATTTTTTGTTTTGTTCATTGATATAACCCATATGCCTAGAATCATGCCTGATGTTTTGAAGACACTCTGTATAAATATTTGTTGAATGAAGGAGTGAAGCCAGCTGCTTAAGAACATCAGAGAGCAGCATCATGTGTACTTATTGAGTGAGAGGAAGCTGGTAGAAGTAGAGCATGAACAAGACTTGCAATAATGAAAGTAGAGTGGATGTGAAACTTTTGGGTTTTGTTTGCATTTTATCCTGAGAGGTAGCAGATAAAGTGAAGTCCTAAAGATGAAACTGGAGAAAGATTTTAAAGTATAATAAATGGGGGGGAAAAAGCCCACCCAAACTGAAAGGAAACTGAGGCTAATGGAAATCTGTTTTAACAGTGGGGGGTTCTATGTTTAGTCATTTTTCCTTATCTCTTCAGATGAATGGCTTTAGCTGTGGCCTTATATCCTTAAGGATCAAACAGAGGCTAAAATACTTAATAAGTCAAAAAGTCTTAGATGAACATATGCAATATGAACATAGTCACTCGTGTTGCTTTTCTTGTATTAAGCATGAAATGTGTTTATTCAGCAAATGGTGTTTAAACTTCTCATATCCTGAGAAGCTAGAAGCTTGAGGGGCTTATCCTGGGTTTGTGAAGCACAACCAGAAAAAGTGCAGTATTATAAGGGTGGGGAGACAAAGGAGCAATTTAAGATTGAAGTACCTTTTGTAGTATTTACTTCAATTACTGCTCTTGGTTTCTTTGGGTATCTTCAACTGATTTAACCTCATCTCTTTGGCGTTCTTTTTCTTGAGTATCAGTCCCTCTTTAATATTTTTTGGTCTGATGGGCAAAACCATACCTGTGGACTTTTATTACAGACTAAGATTTATTAGCCATGCTGCCTGCAAGATTTGTGAAGACACTGATCAAGCATGGACT